TATATCCTGTGTTTAGACTCTGCTGTGTTTTTTAAAAATCTGAATAGAGTTGCTCAAGCCGTGGAGGTCACAGAAGTGTTGAGGTTACCCACCTTCCTAAGGTCAAGGAAAGATGAACATTTAGCTATTCCTTAGATGAACTGTTCTCAATCTCTCTCATATCCCTATTTTTACAAATAACTAGTGCTTCTACTTCTTTCGAACTTTCTAGGATGGTATGAGGAAAACCATTTTTCACTGTAGGAAGTTGTGGTTCAGAATTGTCACTCTATCATTCCCCTTTAAGTCTCTGTTTTTTACCTTCCAAAAAATGCATTGAAGTCTTTTGTTTGTTTTAATCTTCCCCCTTATCACTGTCTTTATTTAAACTTTTGTAAATCATTTTATATTTTAATTTCCTTAATATCATAATAAGATTTAGGATAGATCATATAAAAACAAACATGTCATATCTAGTTTTTGGTCATATTTATCTTATTCAAGTGATTTATTTCCATAGCATTTGCTAAGTTCCTGAGAACCTGGAATGCTTAGTTAGGTACAATTAAAAGTCACTAAGGCAGTTTAATGGTACATCCAAAGAGCAAATCTATAATAGACAATGGAATTTATAAAGTCAAATAGCAATTAGAGCTATCATGTATGGTGTGCTTACTCTACGCTATATTTTTATTTCCTTACAAATATTAGTTAATCTAACTCATATCTAGATGTTATGCTCTATTTTAAAAATGAGGAAATTAAGAAAGAGGAGTTGTGCAGATTAGAGGTCTCACAGTTTCTAAATGGTAGAGTTGGAATTCAAATCCAAGCTGCTTGACATCTGAAATAGAAGGATACAAATACCTCTACTGGGAATAAGAATGGGGGTGGAAGGGTTAGGATTTGGTAAACCAGGTTGTTGCCTTTCTCTTCTCCACTCAATCTCCTATTCATTTTAAACAATTATTAGTATGCAAGAGCATCACATGGTCCACTAAGTCTAAACTGCCAGCTTCCAGAACTCCAAGGGGCACTTCAGAGCAGTCCATGCTCACTCCTGTCCTAGGGGGACGACACTTGCTCTGTAAGTGACACAGTAGCCCTCCTTATCTGGAGTTTTGTTTATCATAATTTCAAGCACCATAGTCAACTCGCTGTGAAAATAGTCAATGGACAACAAGAATAATTGATTCACAAGTTTTACATTGCACACTGTTCTGAGGAGCATGGTGAATCTCACACCATGTAATCCCATCCCACACTGGACACGAATCATCCCTTTGTCCAGCATAGCCACACTGCGTACGCTCCTTCGTCACTCAGCTGCAATCCCGATTGTCAGAACACTGTCATAGTCCCAGCACTGTTACAATTGTCCTGTTTTATTTTTACTTATTATTGTTAATTTGTTTCAGCACCTCATTTATTAATTAAACTTTCATATAGCTGTGTATATCTGGGATAAAATGCAGTATATGCAGGATTTGGTATTGTCTGCGGTTTTAGGCATCTACTGTGGGTGAAATTTGATCTATTTTCCCCACAGGCAAGTGGAGGTCTCTATACCACTTGTGCAACAAATCACTACAACATCCAGGTACCTGTTTTTGCCTGTGAATTGAAATGATCATACTAAACAGCAACAATAAGAAGCAAATATTATTTCACTTGGCTGTATACTGAAAACTGCAAATATATATATATATATATATGTATATATATATATATACATATATATATATTCATTTAATTATGTTTTAGCTTGAGGAGATATAAATAAGAGAATATGGTTTTGTTTCATCACTTTCTTTTTCAAGAAACTTAAATACAATCAATTTCTTAATTTAGAAGTGCTCTTTCTACTTTTAAGGACCTATACTTTCCCATGTTTGTATTCTAGTCATTCAAAGTTTAGTTCAGTACTCTCTTTCATGAACTCTTTCCTTTTTAATTTATCCAGTCATTACTGATGTCTTTCCCCTCTGCATTAAGGCACTTATACAAGAAGCAATGTGTCTTCCAATAGATTTAGTGTTTCTGTTTTAATATTTAGATCTTTGATCCATTTAGATTTTATTTTAGTACATGGTGATAGGCATGGGTCTAGTTTTAGTTTTCGGCATATGGAGAGCCAGTTTTTCCAACATCATTTATTAAAGAGACTGTCATTCTTCCAGTGAACATGTTTGGCCCTTTTATCAAAGATAAGGTGGTTGAGTGTGTTTGTAGTTGTGGTTGTATCTTCTAATCTATTCCATTGATCTTCGGCTCTGTTTTGGTTCTAGTACCATGTTGATTTTACTACAGTTGCTTTGTAGTGTAACTTCAAGTCAGGGATTGTGATACCTCCTGCCTGGGTAAAAACCTTGAAGACATAGGAGTACATAGAGAATTCATGAACAGGACTCAAACCACATGGGAAATGCTTCCCAGAGTCAATAACTGGGTTCACCTCTTATTAAAAAGTTTCTGCACATCAAAAGAAATCTCTAGCATAGTGAAAAGAAAACTCACAAACTGGGAAAAAATCTTAGTGAACTGCCCCTCAGACAAAGGACTTCTGTCTGAAACATATAAAGAATTAAAAAAAATCAGACCCCCAAAATTCAAAGACCCAGTCCAAAAATGAGCATCTGAGATGAATAAACAATTTTCAGATGAAGAAATACAAACATCAAATAAATATATGAAAAAATGTTCAGCATCATTAGTCATTAGAGAAATGCAAATTAAAACCACACTGAGATTTCATCTCACTCCTGAAAGAATAGCCAGGATCAAGAAAACCACCAACAACAAATGCTGAGAGGCTGTGGGGAAAAAGGAACTCTCCTGCACTGTTGGTGGGAGTGTAGACTAGTGCAACCATTGTGGAGGTCAGTCTGGAGATTTCTCAGAAAGTTGGGACTGGAAGCCCCATTTGACCCAGCTATTCCACTTCTACGCATATTCCCAGAAGAACGGAAAGCATCATACCACAGTGATATATGTGCACCTATGTTTATAGCAGCACAATTTGTAATAGCCAGATCTTGGAAACAACCTAAGTGTCCATCAACTGAAGAATGATAAAAAAGTTGTGGTATTTTTATACAACAGAATACTACTCAGCTATAAAGAATGATCACATTGAGACATTTATAAATAAATGGATGCAGCTTGAGACCATACTCATAAGTGAAATAAACCAAACTCAGATGTATAAATACTGAATAGCTTCCCTAGAGTAAGAAATGATAAGAATACATAAAAGTATGTGGTAATCATGATTCTCAATCATATTGGTTTGAAGGCATATAATGTTTTCACTCATTAACTGCAATGGTTTTAACCTAGGTTGTTCGATTTTAGTATCTGTGATGGTACGAGTAGTTATATTAAAGAAAACAACACATCATAAAAGCTAGTGCTGATTTAATATCATCTTGTTTTGAAGTCCCATCAAGCTGTAGTACATAGGTTTCCACTGGTTTTATCATGTCATATCTTACTATACTTTACTATATGCAATAATATAAACAAAATTTTTTATAGGCAAAGAGATAATATAGAAACTGATGTTCGTTTTCTGTTAACTGGTTCTAAATACCCTGTAATTCTTTCATTCTCTTGAATGGCTTCACACGGTCTTGATATGCTTGATGCTATAATATATGAAGTTAAACTCAAATATTTCAAGGAAAGAGACACTATGGTAACTACTATTATGTTAGATTATCTGGGGGTGAAACACAATGATGCTTAAATTGTTCAGTCCTGACCTGCGTTGTTCTGTTACAATGTCCTCTTTTATCTCAATCTCCTCCCCTTTTTTAATTAATCTATTTTTTCTCATTTTTTAATTAAGGGAAAACTAAATTAAAAAATAGTGGGATATACTATAGTAACTTTTTTTGTTTTCCTATTAACCTGATTTGAACTCCAGTATTGCTCTCCCCATCTCATTCTGTCTGATTATACAATATTCTATTTTGTTTGATAGCATCAAGTTTGAGGGTTTAGGCAACCACTTTGAAGGCAATAAGATTTACGATGATGCCCATTATGGCTTGACTATTATCTTCTTTTGAAGTCCTATAAGGTCTCCAGTGTAGGTTTTATTGGTTCTGTTCTGTACTGTTTTGATCAATTCTATTATTCCTGATGATATAGGCAACTTTTTTTAAAAAAAATAACAAGAGGCATAATGTTAACCATTTTTGATCACCTGATATTCTATTTTTGCATCATGTACTATGCCCATCCTTCTGTTCTAACCGACTCTGTTTTGTTTAGTCAAATTAGGTTTTATTCTCTTCAAAAAATAAAAGTAATCAGAACTGTGGGGATAAAAAAACCCAAAAAGTGTGACTGTTATTGTAAAAATGAGAGGAAAGGAAGGTGGTCTAAGGGATATAACTGCATGTATATTTGAGTGTGTAGGATGGAAAACCATATTAGTGAGCTTTTGTTGGATCATTGAACAGAAGTCTCTGCAATCTCACTGTATGAATGTCCACTTTATATGCTTTAATTTTGTAATTTGGACAACTGTTTCTAGGATGACTGTGTGAGGCCTATTAACTAGTGATTTCTTAATGTATAATTTTTTTTCTTGAAATCTTGTATTATTTGTACACTTTTACTGCTTTGTTTTTTATCTCCTATCTTTTTTCTCCTTAAATAAAAAGAAGCAATGTGTCAATGATTGAATACAAAATAGTGTTCATATCTTCTGTATGTTTGCTTAACTTCTACAGGAAATAATAATCATGTAGAGGGTAAATACAATGTCATGCCCTTATTCTTAAAAAGTTCCTGTGATGATTAACACTTAAAAAGTTTTTGCCACTCACAGAACATCAATACATAAATAAAGATTATTTATTTCTGAGTTTGTCTATGAGCTTTTCCAAACAAAATTAACTTCAAATGTGTCAACTCACCCTTATGGCTTGGCATCATCTAATCAATAAAGGATCTGACAAGAATTGAAGAGAAGGAAGAATAAATGTTTTCATTTTTTTCTTGCCTTACAGCTTGATCTGGGACAGCCATCTCACCTGCTCTTGCCCTTGCACTGCCCTTGAACTGAGATTTATACCATCAGAAACCCTGATCCGCTGGCTTTGGGAGCTGGATTGAACACTGCCCCACTCATCTCAGTTGCCAGCTACCAGATGCCAGATGATGAGACTTCTCAGGCTCCCAAACATCCTGAGCCTGTCTACCTGGAACTAGTGGCTGTCTTAGTAAATAATGTTAGAATACTTGTAGTTTATCAGATCCTATGGCAATTATATGTCTTACAAATGTACTCATTAGTTCTAATACTTAAAACTTTGCTTTGGGTACTAAAATGTAGGGGGAAAGTGGCTTTTCTGGATGAATCAGTCTTTTAGAATTAGTTTTCATTTGGTTTGCAAGTGAGTTCTTTGGTGAAATGAAGTACTTAATTCAGTCTGTCTTTCCAAATGTGTCCATTCCTTCATGAATTGATTGCTATGTTTTCGTCCCTTTTCTAAGTGTTCTTCTTTATATCTTTTATTATAAATCAAATGTATTTTATTTGAACAGTTAATTTATGAGAAATGTATACATGAGGAACTTAAAATATTAAATTGTGTTGTCACATACAACCTGTGTTTGAATCTATATCAAAGCATTTGAATCAGTTCATCTTTTGGCTTCTCTTGATAAAACCCAAAAGTAGTGTCTCTGATTAGCTGTGAAATGGGGGAAACCATGTGGCTATTCCAGGCATGGTAGAGAAGATTCTTAACTTTGTCCTGTAATTCAGTCTTTCAGGAGGACTGTAATTATGTGTTACATTACATAGTTCTCTAGGTCATTACACACTAAAGCATTTTTTTTTATGAATTTGGAAATAACTATAATAACATGAATTTTAATATTTGACAATTATGGGCTAAAATGTAACCATGAACTCATGGCCTTACTTTTGTGTGAAAAAATTTGTGGACTTGGAAATATATTTCTTGGAGTAAATGCTTTTTATTTGCTATTAAAACATAAATAACACCTTATGTTCTCATATGAAAATAAACAGAAACAAAGCACAAAAATAAAAAGAAACCACAAATTTTCTATCAGATAAGCAGTCCTGTTTTGCTAGTCACTTAACTTTGTTGTTATTTTCTTTTGGCTTTATGAGTGCATTCTATAAGGTTGATTTAAAAATAGTCATTATTTTCTTTTATCCCCTTTTCAAGTATATATATATATATATATATATATATATATATAGTAATTTGAAGATTATGTTGCAAAGAAAGTTGATAAACAAATATGTAGTCAGGCTTCCCAAATATAATGATTCAATTTGTTTTGCATTTTCAAATTCGTTGCTTTTATACAGAGCATATGATACACATGATCTGTAATCTGCAATCAGTTCTAGATAACCATTTAGAAGCACTAGTTTGTAATGAGATGTATAAGCAGCAAAACTAGTGGTGTAAAATATACTTAGTATATTTAGTTCAAATTATCAATAGTGTTTATTAAAAGACTGAGTTTTACAGTTATAACCACCATCAAGAAGGCCAGTTTCTTTTGTCTTGTCTTGAGTCTTCAATTCACAATGTTTATTGGATGCCCCATGTAGGCTATAGAACTGCCATCACAGATCTTAACTAAAACCTTCTCCTCTTTAACTTGTCCATGAAGATTAGAGAGACAGTGTTCATTGTTTTCAGAACTTAGTTTGAGAACTACCTGAAAGTATTTTCTAATAAACATATTCTCTTTCAGACAAGTTTAAAATACTAAAATGCCATGTGAGAATAGCATAAAGATTTATTTTATGAGTAATTAAAAAATAAACCTACACCAATTGCTATTGATAGAGGAGGAAAGGGTTTTAAAAAGCTTGGAGAATTCTTAGACATCTTAGCTAATACTCTTGGGCAAGTACTTGGCCAGTACTCTAGTGCTTGGACAATACTGGCTGATACTGTACAGTGAGTATTAGTTTTATAAACACAAAAATCTTAATGTTGAGTAATAGCCACTAAAGCAAAGGAACATCAGCTGAGAAAATGTTCCCTGTTTACTAAGCAAGTGTTTGATCCTTTTTTTATGACAGAGAATATAGGGATATTACTCCATCTAACATAAACTGGTATTTTTCATTGACAAGAACTATAAAATCAGATAGGTATAAAAATATTTTTTTAAAAAAAGTTTTTTAAAAAAAACTTTATAGTAATACCATTACATTTCCACATAAATACAAGTGTCTTTGTGTGAAGACAGTTGCCAATGTTAATAATTTAGTCAACTTTTATGGTTGTATAAGTAATTTGAGAAATATAATCAATAAGTTAAAGAGAAATCAATTATACATAAAAATATAATATATAAATACCTGGATATCTTTATATTAAAATGAAAAATTATGAGAATCTATTGTAACTAAGAAAGACACATAGTTTTAAGTGAAAATCAGTAACTCCATTAAATAATAATACTAACATTCCAGTATGTGAGTCAATTTTTTATAGAAATATATATTGAGTGTTGGAAGAATGATGCATTAGAGTTTTACCCTTGGAGAAATTAAAAATATGATTATTTTTGCAAAGAAATACTTAATAAAATCAAACCTCAATGATTCACAACCTCAAGATTTAGTAGAAAGTAATGTACTAAAAATTTAGAGAATGACGAGAAGCTTATGGATGAGAATCATCTCAAAAGCATATTTCTTCTCTTTTTAGGTAGCAATGATTGGTTTTTTAGAGTCAAGATCTATATTTTATTAGAGTAGAGTATAATGTTTTTCTACTTCTCTTTATGCTTAAAATAATAAGTAATAATAATGTGAAACATACGTCCACATGTCCACTTATATCAATTTAGATCTTATATAAAATAAACTCACTGTGAGAAGTTTTCTTATTTTTCAGAGACTCAAGGCAGAACCTTTTCTTATCTGAGATTTGGTCATCATATTTCAGCGAATCTTTTTGCTCACCTTTGCATGACTAAAAATAATCAGCAGCAACAGATATTGAATTTTATACAAAATTTATTAATACAAAACAAAATGAAAGCAGTAATTACCACAGTGTCACTAATGAGGAAATATTTTTAAGCGCAATGGATTTAATAGCGCACAGGCCTTGGCCGATGCAATTTAAAATGACAGATAAAATTTAGAGACTAATATTTTACATTTATGATCAATAAATTATCAGTAGTTGTGTCACATAGAATCTAATCATTAATATACTCTTAAAAATTTGGCCCTACGACAACAGAATTAACACTTTATACACTTAAAACCGTTTTTTTAGTTAAAAAAATTGTATTCTTATTATGTGCGAATATATAGTTGTGTTTTTGCTTTAAAAAGACTTACCAGTATGAATATATGTTATTCACTTTCCTATGACCCATAGGTACAAACATGCACGAAAATAAATCTATATGCTTGTATACTATCTCCAGAGCGAGAAAATAATTGTTATCATCTATCAAATGCAAAGAACTTAATGTAAATTATTGTGCATGTTCTTACCAGACTCTCTGTGGTAGGTTCAGTCTCTAAAAGTGGAGAGTATTTGTTCTTAAGGAAAATCCCAAATGCTGTTATATATGACATGGTGAAAATAGTAAATAGCAATGTGTTATACATTTTAAAATCTTTAGGAAAGAATGCTTCAAATGATCTCAGTACAAAAGCATAAGTAGCTGACATGATGAGATGATGATTATTGATTTAGTTATTCTACATTGCACTTATAACTATCAGCAATTTTTGACCCATAAAAACATCTATAATTTGTCAATTTGCAATTTAAAAAATTAAAAATAAAACCTTTTTGTTTTAAAAAAACTTAATTACTTCTCTTAAAAAGATACTTTTACATAATTTTTCCTTGGGAGGGGCCAATGTAAAGTTTCACTTCATTAATTGATGTTATAAACAATGCAACTAACCCCTGTCTTCCCACTCATATTCTATGTAACGATGGAAACAGGCCAAACAATCTCTTTAGTCTTAATAGCTCACAATTCTAGCTAATTTGTTCCCTGTGAATGAGGCTATTGCCAGGCACCTATCATCTCTTTCTTATGTTTCCCCTATTCCCATGAAACTTTGTCATCCTGTAATGCCTATCACTTCTGCTAATTAACCTTGTTTTTCTTTGAGTTGGGGGAAAATTGTTTTTGTTGTAGTATTTCACCGTGGCTGTCATATTGCTTACTGTCCTACATATTTACTAGCACACTGTATTTATTATATTACAGTAACCTGATTTCAGTTTAGTTGCCTGGGGGATAGAGACTCGTGTGCTTCTCAACTGGCAAGGACTGAGGAATTCTCATAAGCTATCCACGGTGTAAAGACAGTAACACCAGGTTATATAAATAAACAAGAAAAGATGCATTTTCCAAATAAAATAAAGTGTCAGTGTGCAAAACAGAAAGGCAGAAACATGAGATTAAAAACAATGTGTCAAGATAGATCATGAAAGAAGAATTTGACTACAGTGTGAAATAGAAAATTGTCCTATCTTTAGAACTTTTGTCAGCTTTGTCTATTCAAAATATAAGTTTGGAACAATGTGTAATGCATGTGCCTATAATACATAGCAATTGTTTAATATGAAAATATATACATACATATGTGCAATATATTCTGTTTTGGCTATTATATTAAATTAATGTATTATTATGTAAGTTGATATTATAACATATGCTGGATAACAAAAGTAAATGCATACTAATTTTTAAAAACACTACAAAATTTTTCAGAGAAAGTCTTTTGGAGACATTTACAGAGCTATTTGCTTTAAGAATCAAATGTAGCCACAACAAAAGAAGACTGAAAACAAGTATCTTATATAATAGCATACTGGTCTATAAGCCCCCAGTTATATCAATCAATTCAGAAAACTGATCCAAGCAAAACTGATGCGGTGACAGAAGCAACCAATACATTTTCAAGTAATAAATATATAATCAGTCAATCAAAATAGAATATCAGGTAAGATTAATCACAAAAGCTTCTCCGAATGTATCAAGTTATTACATGAGGTTAGCATGACTTTGTCTCTTTAATATATTGTTGCTAGTTTTTAGGTCTTTTGTCTGTCCTGGATATTGTTGAAGTTTGATTTAACTGTTTAAAGCTTCATTAAGCTGACTGGAGCACTAGTGGCCTAAGCCTTATATTTTATTTCCACAAAACTTGAATTAATATTGAAGGCACAGTTTAAAAGCAGAACACATTAGCACAGCACAATGATTCATGCCTGTAGTCCCACGTATTCAGGAGGCTAAAGCAGGGTGGTGATTTGAGCCCCGAAGCTCGAAACCAGTCTCAGAAACATAGGAAGATCCTGTCTCAAAACAACAAAACAAAACAACCATGAAGTTCTAAGAGTATCTTGTTTAATGCCAGTCAAGTCATGCTTCAGAACCCACTGGAGACAGGACCTCTTTGAGATGTCACATAAAGAATACAGTTAGTCAAGAGATAGAGCAAGAGGGAGGGAGGGGGGGATAGAAAAAGGAATTGAGATGTGCTACAAACACATACCAACTCCCAATAAGGAATGTAAACATCATGTATTGCAAACATGTACTAATAAAATAAGGACATAGT